ATCTTACATGTACTTGAATATATATAAAAGGACTTCAAGGAGTCTGAGAAAAGGCCAGCCCCTTGGTCTCATGGTTAAGGGATCCAGATCCCTCATGGCCAACTTGTAGTTCAAATCCTGACCCCAGCAGCTTGAAAAACACATTGGGCATGTGTATGCACATGCCCCAAATTCCAACAGGGTGGAAAAATGAAGAAGAAATTGCGACATGATCATGCCCCATTGGGGGAGTGCTTTTCCACCCTCTCGGTCTCTCTTGTTTGTCTCTGACAAGTATATCCACTCTCTGGCAACTAAAAATAAACAAATAAATAAAAAGTCAGTCTGAAAAATTAAATTGAAGTACAAATTCATTGTGATGCTAACAATTTGAAATCCGCGCAGTTATTTCATAGTATATGTTTTCCCAAACGTTTTGAAGATTCTGTGTACTTACGAAGAAGGCAGTGTTTCAGGATCTACCGTGGTTCACAGACTAGGTTACTTTTGTCTATCTGGGTATTAGGATCCAATCAGAAGATAGAAACAATTTGAACAAAGGAAGTTCAAATAATTACTCATCGTAATGGGATTAGAGTAATGGGATTGACAACTAAGGGGATCTGGGGAAAAAGAGAGCTCTAAATAGAGAGGACAGGAATCTCAGATACAGACACCACCACTATGCCTAGGGCTGAGGCAGAGTCCTTAAATAAGGAATAAAACTTGAAAAGCTTCCTCCTTCCTCAGGGCTGAGGACCAGAGCACTTAGAGAAAAAGCAGCTGTGGCTCACAGGATTGTGAGAGTTTGCCGAATTCCCACAGGTGGGACTTGCTGGGAACGTGGCTTCTGGAGAGCAGGAAGAAGCTTTTCATCAGGAGCTGGACACAGAAATGCCATAAGGAAAAATTAATGAAACCAAAAACTGGTTCTATCAAGAGATGAATAAAATGGATAAACTTCTATCCAAAATGATCAGAAATAAATGGCATAGACACAAATGACCAATATTAGAAATACAAAATTACACAGACCTTTCTGACATTAAAAGAATAATCAGAAAATAATACAAAAAATGGCTATAAACTTAACAACTTATATAACATAAGACTAATTCCTGGAAATACACAAACTATCAAAATTTACTCAAGAAGAAATTGATAATCTGAGTTCTATGTATATTGAAAAAGTTGAACTTGTAGTTTAAGTTTCGTATAAGAAAACTGACTTCATTCAAAGATCATTTCATGGGAAATTCTACAAAGCAGTTACAGAAAAAAATAACACAAATTCTGTACACTTTTCCAGAAAATAGAAGAGGAAGGACCACTCATCTCATTTCATAAAATTAGACCTTCAAAGCCAGACACAAACATTACAAGAAAACTACTAACCAATGTTCTTCATGAACATCATTTTAAAAATCTAGAACAATACACTAGTAAGTTCAAATTAACAGTACATAAGTTAAAAATACCATTTACAATAGCACAGAAAAAAAATTTGGTTGTCAGAAAAAATCATGACATATTTTTCTGTTTTCCTATGGAAAATGCATCATGATCTTTCTGACAATCCAATATTTGGGTATAAATTAGAAAACAAACAAGTGTGTTAAATTGGTATAATGAAAATTTCAAAACACAGATGAAAGAAACCAAACATCTAAATAAGTAGAGAAATATACCATCATAATTTGGAAAGATGAAACAGTATTGAGATGTCAGTTCTCCACAAACTGATTTATAGATTCAATGTTATTTTTTAGTGTTACTTATATGTATTTTTTCTCTATGAGAGACAGCAAGGTCTTATAACTCTTCCACCCAACCCCGGCCATGAGCTGTCCCCAGATGATGTACAAGTGAGTACCAGTGTACTCTGGGAAGTCTCTGGACTTGACCCGGGGTCTTAGCCCTGTGAGACTGCTCTGCAGAACACTGTGTTTTATTTCTGTCCCACTCTCTGGCCTGTAGATTCAATGCCATTCTAAATCGAAATACAAGCAGAATTTTTCATAGCTATCAAAAAGCTGATTTTAAATTTTGTATGGCAAGGCAAAGGAACTAAAAAAGCCAACCCAATTTCAAGAAAGAACCAAGCGGAAAGACCTTATAAAGTTACAAAAATCAAGACAGTGTGCTGTTGGCAACACTGTTGGCAAGAGGATACACACATGGATGAATGGAAAAGAATGGAGAGCCCAGAAATTGATCCAAACAAAAATGACCAATTGATTTTTTAATGAAATGTTTTGAGATCATTGTAGTTTTTTTTTTTTTCAATTAGTAGTAAGAAAGAATGCAGAGATTCCATTTAGCATTTACCTAGTTTTGTTCAATGATGGTATGTTATAAACTGTAGTAACAGGACCAGTAAGTAGCTTGGTGATATTGAGGCTCTGGATTCCCATGTGGTTGACTACAGTTCAAGTCCTGGATCCAGCAGCTTGAATATCATATCAGATGTGCCTACACATGTGCCCAAAATCTGTGAAGAGGATGGAGGAAAAGGAGATTGCAATGTGGCCATCTCCTGGGAGTGATTTTTCACTTACCTTCTGTCTCAGTCTCCCTCTGGTAAACACATGTGTCCTATGGCAAAAACCTAAAACAAAACTGTAGTAACATATTACAATTAGGAGTGGGCTAGTGGCGCAATAGTAACACAACAGTCTGTGAAGCTGGATTCACATAGGAAGGGCCCCAGGCCATGAACCATCCTTGTGACACTGGATGTGCCTGTGTCTAGGATGCAGGCTGTCTGTAGCTAGGAGTGTCTCACAGTGTGAAGACTGTTGTGGGCACCTCTCTCTCATGAAAGAAGTGAATAAATAAAAAGAATGCATTTGATTTAAAAAATTACAACCATATTAACATTGACACAGATCATCTAATCTCGGTTGTTTCACTTATACCATTAGTCCTATATAATTTTTTTGTGTGTGAAATTTTTGCTACAGGGTTTGTGCACTTACTGGAGAGACAGACAGAAAGGAAGGAATCACCCCCTGGGTCCGGGACTTGAACTGCGGTCAGCCATGTGGGAGTCCAGTGATATAACCACTATACCATCTGTAGAGTCCAAGTCCTATATAATTTTATAATATGTAGGTGCTTATAGCCACCATCACAAGTATGATACAGACCATGGCCATCGCCACAAGCACCCTTCACGCTGCCCTCTGTAACCTTATTTACTGTCTTTTATTTTTTTAAAAGAATTATTTCATTTTATTTATTTTTAAATTTGCTATAGGGCACATGTGCTCACCAGAGAGATACAGAGAGAGAAAGAGGAAAAATGAGAAAGCAAGCGGCCAGGTCCAGGACTCAAACTGTAGTTGGTCATGTGGGAGAGTCCAGTGCCACCACACCACTAGCTGGCTCCAAAACTCATTGTCTTTCATACTCCTTCCCTTTTGCAATTCCTGGCAGCCAATGATCTGTTTTCTATTTCTGCAATTTTATCATTTCAAAAAATGTTGTCAGAAGGACTAGCAGTTGGTATAATGGCTATGTTGCTGGACTCCAATGTAGTTGACTACAGTTTGAATCCTGGACTTGGTGACTTAAACTCACGCTGAGCATGTGTGATGCACGCCCATACCCCCTGGGGGATGATTTCTTGCTTTCTGTCTGTCTGTGTCTTTCTGGTGAGCACACATGCCCTATAGAAAAAACCTCTCAAAAAAATGTTGTCAGTAGGATTAATACAGTACTACATCTTTTGGAATTCACTTTGTCCAACTGGGTGCTCTGAGATTTAAAAAAAAAAAAAAAAAAAAAAGGCAGACAATTTCATAGAGGAATTGAGATATTCACTAATTCACTATCAGAGGGTAACTTACAGACCTGAAGATGTGTGCAGTGAAGCTTGGTTCTTCCTACACAGCCACCTGCATAGGTGAGATTTCATCTCTCGTCCCCTGGGGTGACTCTGGCGCTGTGGTTGCTGTCCTGAGTACTTTTTCTCATCAATTGATATGGTCATGATTTTTTTTTTTTGTTTAGTCTGTTCATGAGTTACATTCATCCATTCATTCCTGTTTTTGCCAAAGGGGGCGTATGCCCGTAGGAGACAGAATAAAGGGAGAGAAATCACCCTGAAGGGACATGGCCACACTGAAATCCCCACTCCTCCACTCTCCTCTCAGGATTTTGGGCTGTGCTCCAGCGTGTTTTTCAGGCCACCGGATCTGAGACTTAAACCACTTGGCTAGTCATGTGAGATCCAGCCATCTTAACCACTACACCACTGGCTGGCCTGGTATGTCTGAATTTTTATACACAAAATGCCAAGTTAACTTTTTTGGTGTGCTAGAGAGAGTGTGTGTGCTCACAGAAGAGAGGGAAAGTGATAAAGCACTTCCCCCAGGGGGTTGGTCATGTTGTAATCCTTTCTCCTTCACTTCTTTTCTGGATTTTGGGCACACATGCTCACATGCCCCGTGTGTGTTTTTCAAGCCACTAAGTCCAGAACTTGAATTGCACAACTGGCTCTGTGGGATCCAGCCACCTTAACTACCACAGCATGAACTAGCTGCCAAACTTACTGTTAGCCACAGACTTGGCCAAATTCCCACTGCCTTTCAGAGGACATCATATTCCCTAATTTGTTCCATGTGATCACTTTGATTTTATCTCCATTTACTTATATATAGCACATGCAATTTTCATGTCCAAGTGGTCAGTTAAAGGCCAGATAAGATCCAAAATGTTGAGACCTTGAAAGTATACTTTAATTTTAAAAATAATTAAGACTTCCTTAAACTCTATAGCAGCATATCCACCCTTCTAAATCTTTCCAAAAAGCTGAAGGACAGACCAAAGAATTTTCTCTTGCTACAAACAGAGAAACCACTCCCGAGTTTACAAACATTTCAAATGTAATTGTGATTGATGCAAACCTGGAGACTGCCTTTTCATGGAGTTGTCCTCGTGAAGCCTGTTTTTCAGGTATTTTTCCAGAGTAGTTTACTTGAAGTGTGTAAAATGAAATCAATCAGTGCTATACAAAATAATAAAAATATTCTGTATTTTATTTACAAATTAATTTCATAAACTGTAGTAAACACGACCAAATAACAAAGAAAGATCTTACCTATCTTTTATGGGCAAAGAAATAAATTACTTCAATAGCTATGAAATCTTTCTCTTGCTTTCACAGAAATTAATGTATTGCATACAAATATTTTCACTGTCTTTAATGAACATATTTAAGAGTAGAGAGCGTTCTATTTTTACATAGAATTATAAAGTCTTTTTAAAAAGCTAATTTAGAGTAACTTTCTACTAACAGAAATTGAGCTCATAAAATATAAAATTTTTATAAATCCTATAATTCAGGTAATTAGACTTAATTATAATTACTCCATGGAAATTTATGGTACAAATCTGTCAGTTACCCACAATTAGGTACAACAAATATTTATGGAGAAAAATGTTACGATGGTCAGTGTAAGATTTATTTCATATTCTGAAAGGAAGCTTTGTTCCCAATAAACATTTCTTTTACTGCTTATGTACACTTCTGGAGAACACATCCTGAATCCAAACAGAAATAATATCCAGTTATTTGACTTTTTGTTTCTTTCTTGCTTGAAACTGTTCTGTTTTATTTTTTATAGATTTAATCAGCATTGACAAAGCAGGATCAATGGACTTCTTTTGTGATTCTTTTTGAATCTCACTTTCTTTTTTCTTTATTGCCTGAGTAAGTTCTTGCTCTTTTTGTTCTCTTTGCCGAGCTTTCTCCTCAAGAATTTTTTCCATAGCTTTTGTCTTCTTGAAATTAGGATCTGAGGGATCCAAATTGAACAAGTGGGAAGTATACATTGCCTGAAACCGTGCATCATTAACGTTTACCTGTAAATGCAAAAGAAAAAATAAATAAAAGGGACCAGAAATAAGTCAATCTATAAATTTAGTAAGTAACTGATTATATGAAATACAAATCTGAGTACTTTGCATTGATTTATTAGAAAACTCTTTTCCACCGACTGTCAATGGAACTTTAAAGTCTACTCTCGCACTATGACGTGCTGGGCACACTGTTCTTATCACACAATGACAATCTATTGAAAAGGAGGTATTATAGTCCATATCTATCATGGCTTCTCCTACAGTGACCACTTAGGCTGGCTGACTGTAGGAATGGTCTCTGGGAAGGGCTTCTCCATGCTTATGGCATGAAATCAATTTCTGGCTGACAAATAAGCCAATCAGGGTATTTCTAGTTATACATTTATGCAATGTCACTGTACTTTGAGTATATTTTAAGAAATATTAGCTACGGTGCCAAAAATAAGTAGCTACTGAGGGTTATTCATAGATGAAAAGATTTAAAGACCACTATGGGTAAGAATCCACCCGAGACCAAGGTTGATTAGATCCAAGCCTCAGATTTACCTTCTATGTTTCTATCACAACATTGTGGTTATACATTTATGAGTGTACCCTCGACTCTAGCCAGAGTTCTGGGTACTGCTAGGCACAAGGGTAATGAACAGAAAGGGAAACACAGGAAACACAAACCCACTTGGAGATGGAGCATAGCTGACTTTAGTTATAGTGAGGCCAGCAGCCATGGTATCAAGAACAAAACAACTTCGTGAAAAATATCGTTATGCATGCTTATTAATGTATGAAGGCAGATCTCCTAATAGAAGATCTGACTAAAATACTCTGCTTTTCATAGGAAAAGCAACATAACAAGTTTAGTGGAATAGAAGCATATGTGAAACTGACTCATGGAAACTGGAACAGCAGAGTGACCTTAAAGACTTTCTGAATGCTACTTAGAAGTGATCTGTATGCTCCTTCCAGTCTCTGAATAGAGAAATCCAAAATTCCCCCAGCTCTGCGTCCATTCTTCAGTGTTAATGATAGAAGTCATTAAGCAATTCCTAATAGCAACTTGCAGGTTCCTAGCAAAGGGACAATGTGACCATTAGGAGTATGTATTCAGCAAGAAGAAGGAAAAGGAGTGATAGAAACAAGAAACATAGTAGCTAAAAAAGTATGGCCAGGTCAGCTGGTGATGTGGTGGTTAAAGCAGCTGGATCCCACATAGCTGCTGCATAGTTCAAGTCCTGGACCCAGTGGCTTAAAAAACACTTTGGGCACATATGTGTGTCCAAAATCCGGAGAGAAGAATGGAAGAGAAGGGACTGAGATGTGGTTATCTCCCCTGTGGAGTGCTTTCTCACTTTCTCTGTCTCTGGGAAGTATAAGTGTCATGTAGGAAAAAACAAAAACAAATAAAACAAAAAAACAAGGCATGGTGAGGCCAACCTTATAGTCTAGTGGTTAAGAGAGCTAGATACTACATGGCTAACCATGGTTTGAATCCCAGCCCTGGCAGTTTGAAAAACATGTTGGGTCCATTTGTGTTCATGTCTAAAATCCCAACAGGATGGAAAAATGGAGAAATGTTTGCAACATGACCACAACCCATTTGAGGGTTCTTTCTCTCTCTCCCTCTCTCTGGTTAGTACACATGCCTCTGGCAGTAAAAATAAATTAAAAAACAGGTATGGCCTAGGCCCAGGCATCTTGGTGCAAGCAGGAGGGCACTGCTGTGTAATAGCTGAAACCACGAGGGAGGTCCAATTTCTGTTCCTTCCCCAAGCTGAACAGGCCATGCCTGGTGGCAGGCACAGTAGTCTAAGCTGATTGGGAGGCTGGGTAGGAGACTCAAGATATAGTGAGACCCTGTGAAAAATAATTCTCCCTTCTCTGCATCTCCTCCCTCCTGCACTTTCTCTCATTATTAAAAAAATTGTGTTGGCAGGACCAGCAGATGGGATAATGGTTATGTTGTTGGGCTCCCACATAGTTGACTGTGGTTTGAGTCCTGGAGAAGGTGGCTTAAACTCATGCTGGGCGTTTGTATGTGCATGCCCAAAATCCCAAGATGAGAATGGAGGAGAATGGACTGTGGCGTGGTCATCACCCCTGGAGGGTGATTTCTTACTTTCTCTCTGTCTCGTTCACATACCCTATGGCAAAAAAGATTTCTCTCTTAAAAAAAAAAAAAAAATTGGGTTGGCCATATGTTGAGAGTGTGCTCCAATGTGACCTGAATCACTCACTACTCCTCAATCAGGCTTAAACATACCTTTCCTAGTGTAAGTATCATACATGTGATTTTAACATTAAAAGCTACATAGTTTTGGTGTAGTATGACTACTTCAACTGGTGCTTAAAGAAAGAAACAGTCATTTGTTCCACCCTAGGGATAAACTGTTTTGGATAAAACTGTGGGACCTTCCTAAGATATTTTCAGGGGTAACTGACTGTGCTCAATTTCTGTCTCTAGAGCTGACTTAGATTTGACTTTAGCTTTAAGTGGCTAATGACTCCCTGGTTACCTCAAAGTCATCTTCTAATAACTCCTTCTTTTTCATAAGCTGCTTTTTCTTCTTTTTGCTCAGATTCTGGTGCTCCACAATCTTGTTGTAATTGAAGTGTTTCTTGCTGTCCTCCTCCTCATCCATCAAAAGCAAAGCCATTTCAGCCTGTGGAGAGAAAAGGACAGTTCAAATATACAGTAATATTTTTCCCTCTGAAAGAGAAGTATAGGCCCAGATACTCCCTCTAGAGAAGGAGAACTCAATAAAGCTCTCAAGTAATACCTGTCATCCAAAGTGGATTACTGAAACTCATAGAAGACCCAGAGATGGTCATCTGAAATAAAGCAGAATCTCTGGAAGATAAACTCCCGAGAGTGGGAGGTAGATGAAAGCTTGCATTTAAAAACCAGGCCACATTTCACTTAGTGTGGTAAGGTGGTAAGTAAATATTTCTCATTTTGACTTTGTTCTTTTTAAGAGTGACATTAAATGTAGCACACATTTATGTTGTGATGCAAATTATACTTTTCTAAACATATACTTTAACAACGAGGATAATTTCTTTTTTTCCCCTTGTTTGTTTGGTCTACATTTTCAATACTGGTACATTTTTATGAATGAAGGCAGGATCTTAATAGTTTCTCTTGAAATCTAGTATACTGTCTATTTCAACTAAGTAGATATTTTCTACCAATCTAGAGATTAAGTGGAAATCCTCAAGAATCAAGTAAACCATGTATACTAGTAAAAATATACAGTATGCTCCCAGACCTTTGCGACTATTCTTGTATTACACCTTCAGATTGCCTTAACTTCCCGTTACTTCCATCACGGTTGGCTTCCTGCAAGCCATTTCCTAAAGAGAAAGGTTTTTTTCTCTTGCTCTTTAAATAACTTTATGGGCATTACTGACTATGCAATGAATGGACAGAAGATGTACTAAAATATGGAGTTGAGATAGCCAGTCAGGCTCCCTCCTCAACAGCGACATGAACATCAGTCATTGGCCATTGTTGCCTCCAGCTCCTGCCTCAACATTATGACTCTTCACTGACAGGGTAACTGAGGCAAAGAGCTCATTACATTTCCAAGAAAGACTGTAATTCTGTACATTAAGTTTATGTTGTTCGAGATAATAACGAGCCATAAAGCAAAGTCTGTAAGATTCAGATCGAATTAAGTTATGGTAGCATTATTTTGAGGTTAAAAAGTATTTTCTATCTGTTATAATAAGGGCTTTTAATGAGATATTTTTCTCTTAATCATCCTGAATTTGGGGTAAATATTAACTTTGCATTAGCTAGAGAAATGTTTGATTAAAAGATGATATTTGAAAGCATGCTGCTCGAGACCAGCAGTTGGCGTAATGGCTATGTCGCTGGACTCCCATGTAGTCAACTGTGGTTTGAGTCCTGGACTCGGTGGCTTAAACTCACACTGGGCCTGTGTGCGTGCGTGCGTGCCCAAGATCCCGAGAGAATGGAGGGGAAGGGTTTGTGGCATGGCCATTCTCCCTGTGGGTGGGGGGTGGGAGGTGATTTCTTGCTTTCTGTCTCTGTCTTTCTGGCAAACGCACGTGCCCTATAGCAAAATCTTCTCAAAAAAAAAAAAAAAGCCAGCATGTTGGCATGTTGCTGAGACAGCCAGCTAGGTGGTGTGGTAGTTAAGATGGCTGGATTCTACATTGCGAACTGTTCGATTTGAGTGGTGGTGTGTAAAACATGTCAGGTGCAGGTGTATGCATGCTCAAAACACCAAGAGGAGAATGAAGGTCAAGGGACTGCAGGATGGCCATCCCCTCTTGTCGTTCTCTCCAGGAAGAACATGTGCCTTACAACAACATCAACAACAAAGAAGCTGCTAAAGCTTTTTTTTATATACCTCATAATTTACAAATTTCATTGCTAAAGTAAGTTATGTTTTCATTCGGAAAACTAGAAACTCAAGTGCTCAAGTGAACAACTTCATTTATCTTTTTCTGTTCTTTCTTTCTTTTTTTTTTTTTTTTAGTTTGCTAGAGTGTGTGTGTACTCACTGGAAAAAGAGATGAAAATGAGAAAGCAAATCCCACCTCCAATGGGGATGGTTATGCCACAATCCTTTTCTCCTCCCTATCTCCCTCCTTTTGGGATTTTGGACATGCACACACATGTGCCTGATATGTTTTTCTTTCCCCCCTTTTTGTTAAAAGAGAGATTTTAGTTATAGGGTGCATGTGCTCACCAGAGAGAGAGAAAGCAATCACCTCCCGGGGGGATGGCTACGCCTCAATCCCCTCTCCTCTACTCTCCTCTCAGGATTTCGGGCATGCAAGCAAATGTGCTGAAGTGGGTTTCAAGCCTCCAGACCCAGTACTCAAATTGTGGTTGGCCACGTGGGAGACCAGCAACTTATCCACTACGCCATCTGCTGGTCCCATCGTGGTATGTTTTTCAAGCCACCAGGTCTAAGACTCAAACTGTACAGCCATGTGGAATGCAGCCAAATTAATCACCATGCTACCTGTTGGTCTGACAACCTCATTTAAATCATGCACATCAATTACCCGTTAAACAAAAATAACAATCACATTTTACCTTTTGTCTTTCTATTTCAGTTTCTTCCTCTGGAGCTGTTCCATCTTTTACAGATTTTGTTGATTTTTTCTTTATACCTGGTACAACAAACCAAAATAAGAGAGTTAATAGTTACAGGACTATCAACAACAATCTGTTTTTACTAGGATCAAAAATGCAAGATATTTAGGAATAAGCTTAACAATAAATTTGTTGAGACTAAAGGAAGAAAAAACACATTACTGAAAGAAGTCTAAGCAATAAATATAACAGTTCTAGATGGGTATCAATACGTATCACAAGGAAGGAATTTCTTCTGAAAGTAATGTATTATTTACTCACAGAAATTTCTACCAGATATGGAATAAGCATTTGATAAAATTGAAAATCCATTCATAATAAAAAGTCTTATGTGTATTTAGTAAAATTCCAAATAAAATTCCATTCAAGAATATCTATACAAGGATTTAATAAGATAGTTTGATATACTTGTGATACAGTGCACTAAAATATACTAAGAAGTAAAATTATTACACTATATGGGAACAACGAGACACTGTGGCTGAACATACAATAAAAAGTAGCATCACATCAATGGAAAAAGAAGAGATAGTTTAATAGCTAGTGCTGGACAATCTGTTTCATCTGGGAAAAAAGAATCCAATTATAGCCTTTTATCGCATAGTGTATAGGAAAATAAAATGCAGGTAGATTTAAGAGTTAAGCATTAAAAAAGAAAAAAAAACCCTATGAAGAAAATCTAGGGAGCAACTATCTGATCTTTAACATAAAAACATTTTCCTGGGGACAGCAGCTGGCACAGAGGTTGGGGGTTGGACTTCTCCATGGCCAACCACAGTTTGAGTCCCAGACCCAGCAGCTTGAAAAACATACCAGGTGTGTTTGCATACGTACCCCAAATCCCAAGAAGGGAATGGATTACAGAGGACTGTGAGGTAGCCACCCACTTAGGGCATGATTTCTCACTTTCCCTCTCTCTGGTGAGCACACATGCCCTATGGCAAAAACGTTTAAAAAAGGGAGGGAGGGCAGCAGGTGACGTGGTGGTCAAGGGCTCTGGACTCCCACATGGCTGACCATGGTTCAAGTTCTGGATCTGGTGGCTTGCTTTCTCATTCTCTATTTCGTTCTGTCTCTCTCTGGTCAAATTAATATAAGTAAATGTTAATAAAATAATTCTAAAATAAAAAAAATTTTAAAAAGAGAAGGAGAGAAACATTTTCCTACTATAAAGAACTGTGAAAGAAATCACACAGAAAAATATTCAAGCGATCTGAATATATAAGCTCAAAACACTGACATAAAACATTTATTTGGAAAATGAGAATTTATCCTTATAGGGAACCAGCAGTTAGCGTAATGGCTGGGTTGCTGGACTCCCACGTAGTCGACTGCAGTTCGTGTCCGGACCCAGGGGCTTAACATTCACGCCAGGCGTGTGTGCGTGTGGGCGTGCATGCCCAAGATCCCGAGAGGAGAATGGAGGAGAAGGGATTGCAGCGTGGCCATCCCCCTGGGGGGTGATTTCTCGCTTTCTGTCTCTATGTCTCTCTCTGTCTGGCGAGCGCACGTGCCCTATAGCAAAAATCTCTCCAGAAAATAAAAAAAAGAATTTATCCTTACAATAACAATTTGACAGTCACTATCAATAAGTACAAATTCAATAAAACTCGTTCTCTTTCTCTAAAGACAAATTTGATCTTCAGTTAACTTTCTAGCTCTAGTACCAGGTGAAACTACCTATGATAAAAGTGGTTCTTGAGGGACCAGCAGTTGGTGTAATGGCTATGTCACTGGACTCCCATGTAGTCAACCATTGTTCGAATCCTGGAACTGGTGGCTTATTACTCATGCCGGGCACATGTGCTTGCGTACCCAAGATCCCGAGAGGAGAATGGAGGAGAAGGGATTGCGGTGTGGCCATCCCCCCTTGTCTTTCTGGTGAGCACACATGCCCTATAGCAAAAGCCTCTCCAAAAAGAAAAAGAAAAAAGTGGTTCTTGATTGTACAACTACATGTATTGAGGACTAGGGACTTTTAAAAAGATACCAGTTCCTATTTGAGACACGCAACTTATTTGAGTGCAACTACTGCACACTGTCTCTTTCCTTGTATTTGAGTTCTAGTACTGCCAAGCAGACTACTGTGCAACCCTCCACTAAAAAGAAACACTCTGCAGAGTTTCCTCTCCTTAGTACCTGGGTCCCAGGTGTGACCTGTGTGAGTCTTCTGAACTGGACTATCCAGCAGAGCCCATGATGATCCCCTGATGGGCACTGCACTACCTTAATCAAATCATCTGTGAGACAATTTGGGGATTGGTACCCTTGGAATGTGATGTCATATAAAAGATACAGCTTTGCCTATAAATTACTTGCCAAAAACACCAACACGAATCTAATTGAACCACTAGCTAAATTTCAGTTTTTATGGCAAATACAGAGGACCAAGAAACAAGAAACTATTAGACACATCTCAGATATGAGACTGTCCAAATGCTTGGGCTTTTGAAAAGACCACCATTATAGGGGGAAGTGTGCGTGGCATCTTCTACATAACGGTGAACTAGAGACAAAACTAAAGTCACTGAGATCAGCCTTGACTGAATTGGAGTATGAAAAAGAAAAGTTATAAAAGGCAATGCAGGGAACCAGCAGTTAGTGTAATGGCTATGTCGCTGGACTCCCACGTAGTTGACCGCGGTTCGTGTCCCGGACCCGGTGGCTTAAAACTCACGCCGGGCGCGTGTGCGTGCGTGCCCAAGATCCCGAGAGGAGAATGGAGGAGAAGGGATTGCGGCGTGACCATCCCCCCTGGGGGGGTGATTACTCGCTTTCTGTCTTTCTGTATCTATGTCTCTCTCTGGCGAGCGCACGCGCCCTACAGTGAAAATTTCTCAAAACAAAAAAAAAAAGGCAATGCAGAAATCTGAGTATCAGAACTACTAGATAATCTTTTTTTAAAATAATTTTTAATTTTTTATTATTATTAAACTTTCTATAGGACATGTATGTTCACCAGAGAGAGAGAGAGAGAGAGAGAGCGAGCGAGAGAGAAAGTGAGAAAGCAAGTCTCCGGGTTCAGGACTTGACCCTCCTATCGGCCATGTGGGAGTCCAGTGCCTTAACCATCATACCACCTGCCTAGCCCCAGTGTTATTTTTCTTATGTTATATAAATGTATAGTGGTTACATAGCCAGACTACAAAGTAACTCAATATTAAACTTGGCACAGGAGATTAACTTGCCCAGACTAACCATGGGTTTAATGAGATTCTTTGTAGACCAGGGCCTTGAGATGCAACCCAAGAAGCAGATGTGCTTAAGGAACATAAAAATTTTTGCCCTGAAGATCAGGTCCAGCTGAACCAACACAGATGAAAACAACTCTGATGTTAACAAGTCTTCCTCTGCAGGAATGGTTAAAGAAATGAACTGCCGGGTGGAGCAAAACAACACGCAGTACCGTTACTTTCTCTTTAAAGGCTTTCTTGTTAGACAGGGACTGAGGAGATGATTCTTCAGGACACAAGCCCACCACCTTCCCCAGGTTGCTGGCCATCTTAATAAAACTATCTTTCCTTTCCACCTATACCTGTCTTTCGAATGGTGAGCTTGCTTTCTGAATGGTGAGCAGCTTACTTGGGTTCAGTACGTTTCATCTCATTACATTTATACATGAGAATATCTTTATTACAAGATGTATGACAAAATATTTAGAGGTGCACTATTCCTGAATGTCTGCATTTTGCTTTCAATCAGTTTAACAAAAATGTACTGTGTACAAACAAACAAACAAACAAAAAAAACAAACTCCAAAAAAATAAAAGTATTGTTGGAGCACAGTGCAGTGGCACAGTGGTAGTGCAACACTCTGCAATGCTGGCAGCAGTATGGAACATCGAGTTTTGCTCCTGGGTCAACCTGAACATGCCAGGTGAGCCAGGCCATGATTCTTGCTGCCTGGGAAGCTGGTGGGAGGAATGCAGTATGTGACTCTGTTAAGGAGTCTCTCTCTTAAACACACACACACACACTAAATAAATAAATACACTTAATGCTCTGTGTTCAGC